TGAAAGGAAATACAGATGGGTAACTCATGATACTGTAGTGAATGCTTATCAGGACGGATTATGAGGGTTGGAAATGCAAAGGTAGATGTTTTGTAACAAGGAAGGGAGTGATTAATTCTACAGGCTAGGAGCGGAGGTATCTGGGACCATCAACTGAGAAGAGCAGAGAGCGGGATCCTACCCAGAGAAACAGAGATGCCTGAGATGAAGACAGAGACGATGACATGGAGTAATGAAGCGGCTGGGGAATTTGGATCCAGAGAGGGAAAGGGACTGTGGGCCAAAAACTGGAGGAGGGGTGGAGGGGGAAGTGGAGGGGGCGGGATTCTAGGATATACCCTTTGGTTGGTGGATGATGCATGGAGGGGATTGGAACTATGGCAATGAGATGATATACAATGGAATGAATGTAAAACTAAAGTTCTCTCATGTAAACTACCATATAATTCACAATAAAACATTTTTTTAAAAAAGAATAGTAAATAGAGCTAATTTGCCATTAGGCATTTGGCAACAGAAAAAAATAAAATAAACAAGAAAAAAAAAAAACAAAAGACAAAGAAGAAAGAAGAGGAAAAAAAGAGTAATCTGCTATAATTTTATGAACTTGACCTATACTTATGGATGTAGTAGCTTAAAAGAGGGAACAAATCTTACTGCAAGGATCATCCCCACCCCTTTGGTACACAGGGTTGACAGGGATGGGCAAGTTAGACATTGGCTACCCAAAATGGGGGAGCTACAAAGGCAAGAAATGACTGGCTTACAAGAGGGAGCCTAGTTCCAGAGGGTACGGGGTAAAGGTAGAATCTCCACTGAGTGGTTTCCAATCTGTTGGGAAGGGATTGATGAAAGGAGTTGGGGATAAGACTCTTGTGGTACAGTAGTGAATAATTGCTATCAGGAATGACTTTGAGGGTCAGAAATGTAAAGGTAGATGTTTTATAACAAAAGGAAGAGAGTGGTTGATTTTGCAGCTCATTAGCAAAGGTCCCTGGGAACATCAAGGGAGAGGAGCAGAGTGTGCAACCCTACCCAGAGAAGCAGTGACGCCAGAGATGGAGGCAGAGATGATGATGTGGAGAGATAGAGTAGCTGGGGACTCTGGACTCAGGGGAGGAAAGGGTCTGTGTGCTGACAGCCAGAAAGCAAGTTTGTGGGGTGTACCCTTTGGTTGTTTAATGATGCATGGAGGGGACTGTAATCATTGCAATTAAACAAAATGCTATATGATGAATGTAAAGCTGGTGTTCTCCCATGTAAAGTATCACATAATTCACAATAAAAACTTTATATATATATATATATATATATATGTTATATACTGTTTGCATGGAAGGGTGACTTCAAACAGTTTATGAAATTTTTCACAAACTCTTTGAAATCCCCTTATACATATATAGAAGGTATACTGTATGCTATAGACATTTTAACACTAGGCTGAAGTGTCAGCCATTGCTTGTAGTATAACATATTGATTTGTTCAGTGGCATTTGATGCTTGCACATTTTTTCATACTGAATTTATCTTCCTATAGAAATACCACAGTAGATTCCAACCCACAAATCACTCAGCATTCATCCAGGGCAGCAGTGGAAAGGCCTGGCTCTAGTTGACATAATGCTTAAAGTCCTTTCAAGTTGTTGTTATGTGCCATCAAGTCAGTTCTGACTCATAGCAACCCTGTATAAGGTTTCCAAGGAGCGGCTTGTGAGATTGGAGTGCCAGCCTTGCAATTCAAACTGAACTTGCAGTCCAGCACATTAATCCACAGCACCACACCAGGAGTACTTTCAAGAGAGTCCTTTTTAAAAGTCCTTTCAAAAGAACTTTAAAATTTCTATTTCTCTTTGTAACCAGTATTTATCATCTGATGATTATATATTGTCCTTTGATGCCCATTTCTATTTCCAAACTAAAAACTCTGAATCGCATGGTGTTGCTATGAGTCAGAGATTAACTTGATGGCCACAAACAACATTAATGGAATCCTGGTGTGGCACTGTAGGATAAACCCTGAGCTAATAACCAAAAGGTCGGTGGTTCAAACCCACCAGTCACTCCTTGGAAACCCTATACAGAGTCTCTATAAGTCAGAACTGACTTGACAGCACACAACAACAACAACAACAACAACAATGGTTATAAGACATAACCACTGGGGAAATTTGGGTGAAGTGTATATGAGACCCTTCTATACTGTGTTTTCAACTTGTTATAATTATTTCAAAATTGAAAAGTTAGCAAAAAAGCATGTGTCATACTTTTAGGTAAAACCATTTACCAGTTTCTCATTCTCTGTGTGATGTATACACGTCCTTTAATTTATCCAGAACTTATCTCTTTTAAAATTCATGAAGCATTTCCTTCCTGCCAGTCCCCCAACTTACTTTGCTTAGCCCAATTCAATTGTGAGGTTCAGTACTTACATTCTAAAGCAGTGAGCAGCACTCACAAGCCATGTGCTATTAATTAAGGCTGCCCCACAGCGATGGATTCCATCCCATTGCAGGCTAGCTTGCCAGGGCCATTCACCCTCTTCTACCTCTGTGCCACCAACAATCCTGAGGCTTTGCCCAGTAGATTTATTCCTGCGTGTTCCACAGCCTACAAGAAAGAAATAACGCATTACCAATTGTTATTTATAAGCAACAAAATGCTGTTACTATGTCCCATATTTTACTTTTTGCTCAGTTTCTCATGGTGTTACCATTTTTTGAACTGCAATGCTTCATTTAGTGTACTCCTATTGATCTTTAAAGATTTAAATTAGTTGTACCTCCTTTAGAATACATTCTCCAACTATTTTCCTGTCCTCAGACTAGATTAGTTGTGTCCTTCTTAATGCTCCGATAATAATAGAATTTTTTTTTTTCACAGATGCACAATTATATACATACATACACTTAGGTAATTGGATGGATTTTTGGTTTTATATTTAAGTCAGTATTAATCAACATTCTGAGCTGATGTGTAGTACGTTTATTCCGCCTTTTAAGATAATATAATAATGTGTTACTTCTACAGCTAGTAAGTAAATTGCTCTAAATAGAAGACTGCTATGCTGTAAGAGAGGCAAGTGCTAGGCCTAGAGTTGACACTTTTAAAATGTGAGTAAAAATGTTATTACAAGCATTCAGTTGTTTCATTAACATATGCCACTAACTCCATAATTGTCTGCTACTTTAGTAACATAGTATTAATAATATCAAGAACATTTTATTTAGGGGAAAGTAGCAATACATTTATTCCTCTAGATGAAAAACCATCAACACATATACTACTTTTATATAATCTTATTTTTTAATTGTGGCAATATGGTATAGATGTCTCTAATAAGAACATTGAGAAGTAAACATTTTTGTCTCCTCTTTGATGGTTATATAACTCTTTTCCACCATACACCTTCCACCCAAAGTTCTTCCAATTTTGGTTTTCTTTAATAATAATAAAATATGTATCCAAGATATTTTTAAAAGCACCACAAGCTGTGCACAAATCAATCAAAGTTTTCCATTCTGAAAGATCTAGTGTTAACTTTTCACATTCAGGTAACACAATTTCAATAAAAATCTTGAACTTACAACTGTTCAGATAGTTGTCTGTTTCTGTCTTGTTGATTTCTGAAATACACAAAAATGATGAATAGAACAGACTCAGCATATCCAAATTTCATTAAGCCGCTGAATATTTCAAATACTAAACAGCTGCTTAATTCCAGCTATTTAGGTTATAAAGAAAGCAGTACAATTTATCATCAACATAGAATATTTATTATCTTGGGAAGGAAAACTTGAATAGAGTTTTCTAAAACATTTGTGTGGAAAAGATCTTTATATTATAAACTCCTGTGCCTTTGTCACAGAGTAATCCTAACTCAGTCATCAGGAAGAAAGATGCAGGTAATGCACAATCCCCCTTTGGAAAAGATCGGTCTATACCATACTAACGATTCCTCAAATGCAATGATATTGTTCCTTACATTCTTTCAGATCATTTTAATAAACTCTTAGTCACATTACTATTTTTAGAACATATCTGCATGGCATGTCCATAAGAATCATAATGCCCGTTTAGGAAATCATGGTATCCCTTTCTAAATCTTCTTTCTGCTGAGATTTTAGAAATACATTTCATCCTAGAATTATCATTCAACACTAGCCAATAGATTCACAGCTTACTGAGTTTTCAACAGGAAGCCCCTGTTGTTATTGTCGAGTCGATTCCTATTCATAGTGACACTGTGCAAAAGAGAGCAAAACACTACCCCGTCCTGCACTATTGTCACAATAGTTGTTACATTTGAACTCATGCTACAGCCACTGTGTCAGTCAGTCCGTCTCATTAGGTATCTTCCTTTTATTTTTTGCTGAGCCTCCACTCTAGCAAGTATGATGTCTGTCTCAGGGTGTGGTCCCTTCTGAGAACATGCCAGAAGTATGTGTAGCAAATTCCCAACATTCTGGCTTTTAAGGAGCATCTGACTGGATTTCCTCCATGACAAATTTATATGTTCTTCTGGTGGTTCATGGTACTTTTAATATTCTCCTCCAACACATTAACTAAAATGCATCTACTCTTCTACCCTATTCCTTATTCATTGTACAATTTTCACATGCACATTGGTAGTGGTAGTTATGTGCCGTGGAGTCGGTTCTGACTCATAGCAACCCTGTACAGGGTTTCCGAGGCTGTAAATCTTTACAGGAGCAGAAAGTCTCATCTTTCTCCTGCGGAAGAGCTGGTAGTTTCGAACTGCTGACCTTAAGGTTTGCATCCCGATTCATAACCACTACACTACCAGAGTTCCTTCACATGCACATTAGGAGGCTGAAAACACCATGGCATGGGTCAGGAGCACCTTAGCCCTCAAACTGACATTTTTGCTCTTGAATATTTTAGAGGTATTTTGCAATCGATTTGCCTAATGCAATATGTCATTTGATCTATTGGCTGCTGCATAGTTTCTCCATAGATAAAGACGAAGGCTGTGGTGAATGATCTTCATAAGTAAGTATTTTAAGTTATTTTAGCTATCAACAAGCAAGGTTATATCATCTGCATATTACAGCTTGTTAATAAGTCTTCCTCCAAACCTGAAGCCATGTTCTTCTTTATATAATTGAGCTTCTCGGGTTATTTGCTCAGCATACAAACTGAATAAGTATGGTGAAAGAATAAAACCCTGGCATATACCCTTTCTGATTTTAAACCACTCAGTAGCCCCTTCTACTATTTCAACAATTCCTTCTTTGTCTATGTATAGGCTCCTCATGAGTACAATTAAGTGTCCTGGAATACCCATTCTTTACAATGTTATCCATTGCTTATCATAATCATAAAGTAGAAAGCCTTTACATAGTCAATAAAGCACAGATGAACATCTTCCTGTTATTCTTTGCTTTCAGCCAACATCCATCTGACATAAGCAATGATATCCCTTATTCGACATCCTCATTTGAATCTGGTTTGAACCTATCAATACACCATTGAAGCTGTTTTGGAATTATCTTCAGCAAAATTGTACTTGCATGTAATATTAAACATATTGTTCAATTATATCCACATTCTGTTGGGTCACCTTTCATTGGAATGGGTACGAATATGGATCTCTTCCAATCAATTGACCACATAGCTATCTTCCTCTTTTTTTTTTTGGCATAAATAAGTGAATGCCTCCAGTGCTGCCTTAGTTTGTTGAAAGATTTCAATTTGTATTCCTCAATTCCAGGAGCCTTGTTCTCTGTCAATGCCTTCAGTGTAACTTGGACTTCTCCCTTCACTACCATTGGTTCTTGATCAAATGCTTTCTCTTGAAATGTTTTAACACTGACCTTTTCTTTTGGATACAGTAATTCTGTATATTTCTTCCATCTTGTTTTGATGCTTTCTGCATCATTCAATATTTTGCTCATAGAATCCTTAAGTATTGCAAGTCTAGGATTGAATTTTTATTACATTGCTTTCATCTTGAGAAATACTGAACCTGTCTTCCCATTTGGTTTTTTAACTACAGTATTTTAACTAATTCTTGACTTTGTCTTCTTGAACTGCCCTTTGAAATGTTCTGTTCAGCAAATTTACCTCCTAATATCTTACATTCACTTTAGCATCTCCACACAAGAGAACAAGCTTCATAGTCTCTTCTGACATCTATTTTGGTCTTTTCTTTCTTTAATGTTTTCTTAATTACCTTTGCTTTCTTACTGTATGATGTTCTTGATGTTAACCCACATCTTCAGTCATCTTCAGTCATTACTGTCTAATAAATCAATTCTGTTCTTGAGGTGCTCTGTCTCTAAATTCAGGTGAAGTATGTTCAAGATCATATTTTGGTTCTCATGGACTTATTCTTTTAGTATCCAATACTGTTTATTTACTAGAAGTCTGTATTATCTTCTTAGGTACTGTTGAGTTTGTTCTGACTCACCATGACCCTATGCGCAATAGACCAATATGCTGCCCAGTCCTGTACTATCTTAACAATTGTTATTTTTCTTTGGCCCAGTGCTGCTGCCACTGTGTCAATCCATGTCCTTGATGGTCTTCTTCTTCTTCACTGAGCCTCTACTTTACCAAGGATGATGTCCTTCTCCAGGGACTATCCCTACTAACAACATGTCTGAAGTATGAGAGACCAAATCTCACCATCCTGCCTTCTGAGGAGCGATTTGGCTGCAGTTCTTTCAACACAGATATGTTTGCTCTTTTGACAGTGCATGCCACTTTTACTATTCTTTTCCGGCACCATAATCCATATAAATCAACTTTCCTATGGTCTTCTTTACTCATTGTCTAACTTCCACATGTATATGAGACTATTGAAAATGCCATGGTTTGGGTCTGCACCTTACTCCTCATTTTTTTTTTTTTTTTTTTTTGCTCTTGAACACTTCCAAAAGGTTTTGTGCAGCACATCTGCCTAATGGGATACATCATTTGACTTCTTGACTGTTGCTTCCCTGAGTGTTGATGTAGATCCAAGCAAATTGAAGTTTTAGGCAACTTCAATCTTTTCTGCATTTATCATTATATTATATACTGGTCCAGTTATGGGGATTTTTGTTTACTTTACATTGAGGTACAAACCATACTGAAGGCTATATACAGTCTTTGATTTTCATCAATTAAGTATTTTGAGTCCTCATCACACTTTCACAAGCAAGATTGTATCATCTACATATTGCACTTGTTAATGAATCTTCCTCCAATCATAATGACACATTCTTCTTCATATAATCCAACTTCTAAGATTATTTTTTCAGCATATAGATTGAATTAATATGGTAAAGGATACAATATTGGCTCACGTCTTTCCTGAATTTAAACCATTTCATATCCCCTTTTTCTGTTCTAATGACTGCCACTTGATTTATGTACAGGTTCCTCATGAACACAATTTATTGTTCTGGAATACCCATCCTTTGCAATGTTATTCATAGTTTGCCATGATCTATGAAGTTGAAAGCTCAAGTAAACACCAATCTGGTATTCTCTGATTTCAGTCAAGATCGATCTGATATGAACTATGTTATCACTCATTTCATGTCCTCATCTAAATCCGGCTTGAATCTTTGGCAGTTCCCTGCCAATCTACTATTACAGCCATTCTTGAATTATATTCAGCAAAATTATACATGCATTTGATATTACTTATGTAGTTCTATTATTTCTGCATATCGTTGGATCACCTCTCTTCAAAATGGGCACAAATATGGATCTTTTCCAATCAGTTGGCCAGATAGTTGTCTTCCAAATTTCTTGGCATGCATGAGTGAGTGCCTCCAGTGTTGCATCAGTGTGTTGAAACATTGTAATTTGCATTCCATCCGTACCTGAAGTCTTGGTTTTCGTCAATACCTTCAGTGCCGCTTGGATTTCTTTCTTCAGTATCATTAGTTCTTTTTTTTAAAAAAAAAAAACTTTATATTGTGAATTGAGTGAAGATTTACAGACAAGAGCATCAGTTTTGCATTCAACAAATCATATACTTCATTTCATATCAATGATTGCAATCCTCCCCATGCTAAATAGTTATCCTGTTTCCGAACCATAATCCCTATTTCCATTCCACCCACCTTCCCATCCCTTCTCAACTCAGTCATTAAGTAAATGTTACCTTTTAAAATTTTTGAATTATTGACCATTCCATGGTAAGCATACCGTACTAATATTGTTGTCCTCCCCTACCCCCACCCCCATATTCCTATCTACTGCTTGTCTGAAAACTGGGCCACTAGGATGAGTTCCTTTCCAGAC